AGACTTTTTTTTTTTTTTTTTTTTTAAATAATTCAGAACTAGGGTATTTCACTCGTCTGTCTCCACTGGAATTTCAACTCAGGGCTGTGCTTCAACAGTTCACAGGTGTACCAACTAAGTTAGACCAGGGGCTAGGTCCCACTTGCATGGATTAAGAGATACTGACCGTAGATGGCAAAGATCAACGGCCGGAATCTCCTAATTTGCGCAAGTGGGACCTTGCCCCAGTTGGTCTTTCGGCAGACTTCTGCACCTATCTATTGCTGGGGAACTGCACCTGCTTTGAAATGGAAATGAAAACCACGGACCCACTTGCCTCTAGGTCTGTTATTAGACCTGCCTATGAACTCTGAGTCACTGGAATACAGACCTGAGTTCAGATTCTAGTGGAACTCTAACTCAGCCTGACTGGAATACAGACCTGAGTTCAAATTCTAGTGGAATACAGAGCTGGAGCTCAAATTCCAGTGGAATAGGGTTAGTGAAAATAACTCTGATTTTACCTGGGGCTGACCAGTTTAAACTTTAAAGATGATATCTCAAGGCCTGATGACAGGGCAGTCTTTTTCTCTGGCATAAGGATAGGACGCATAAGAGGTCTCCTCCCATGTGACCCAGAAGAGTGGGTATGGATGGGGCTAACAAGATCGTAGACCACTGCCTTCGTCCACCGAATACATCGTACGGTCATTGTAGCTGTATTTGGCATATCTTTCAGTCTAAATACAGCTAAATACAGCTATAGTGACCTTACGTTGTATTTGGGGGAAGAAGGTAGGAAGTAATACGGTCATTGTAGCTGTATTTGGCGTATCTTTCAGTCTAAATACAGCTACATACAGCTATAGTGACCTTACGTTGTATTTGGGGGAAGAAGGTAGTAAATACTTCCTAGGCACTTTTTGTCTGACTGTGGCTGGAAACACCCTCAGCTGGGCGTCGCCAGCCATTTTGCCCCTCTTTTCCGGGGCTGGAAACGAACCGCCACGGCCTCCTTTTGGCTGGAGACGAACCGGCATGAAACGAGCCCTGAAAGTTTTGGCATCATGCAAGCCAGCCATTTTTCCCCGAGGCTGGAAACGAACCGCCACAGGCCTCCTTTTGGCTGGCGCCCGCCAGCCATTTTGCCCTGGTGACCGAGCCCCGAAAGTTGCGGCAGCATGCAATCCTCATGCGCGCTGCACAAGAAATACATCCAGGAAAATCGCGTTGCATGCACGACCTTTTTTGCCTGGATGTGCTTTTTGGGACGCTGCAGGCCGGTACATCCTGCCACACACGCATCACGCATCCAGCCGTGTTGTTGAAAAATGGCTAGGAAATGTACTGGTGGTTTGGGACACTTGGCTCTTGT